AGGAAAAACATGTTATATTTTTTATAATTAACTAATTTATTTAACTTTTTTAATCTAATTAAATTAGTTAAATAGGTTTTATATTAAGAATCGGAAGAATAATTTATAAGTTAAGTGCGGCTGCTAAATCAAAGACAGGATAGCAAGACCATACACAGATGATTTTTTTTTTTTGGGGGCCAAAACAGATGATAGCTGTCGACTCTAGTTTCTTCTATAGGAACCCTCACTGGCTGTCGTTTTCTGTGCGAGAAGCTTTCATGAACAAGTCTCAACATTAGTGACACATCAACAGTCAACAACATCAATAATGTTGACATCCAAAAAGAAATGCTAGTTAATTTAATAGCAATAATTTTCACATTACAAAAAATTACCACTTTGTGAGCATGTGCGAGTTCAAGAGGAGGATGAGGATGAAAGTGATCTCATCTCCATTGGCATTTAATTAGCATTTTATTGTGCATCTCTACTCGGATTAGCATAAGCTTTTTCTCGCATTCTAATTCGAATTGCAGATTCTTTCGGACATTTTAAGAGAATTTTCCTCGTTTTCGGAGCTATAAGATGTTGCCAACCTGATCCCAAATTAAGATTCCCATTTGCTCTGCGACAGTTTTAGCCCATCAAACAAGACATTACAGGGCTCTAACTTCAAAAGTACATATAGCTTTCGCCACAAAAAATGAAACACTACTTCCTGCAGCTGGTCACATCAACTGTACCTTGAAGATTATTCTTGCGAGGGCCTTATATTAAATCAAGAAAGAGAGAAATAAACAAGCTCGTTGGATTGAAACCAGTGAATGCTCTTGGTGAACTATCAAGAGTAATTCGAGTTTTACTGGGAATGGTAATAACTAGGCAATGTAGCGATAAGAAAATAAGCTTCTGTCTCAAAACCCAGAAAATTCGGATATCCACGTCCGCAAAAGGATTGGCATGGCACCCCACAGCACCTGAAACACCCTGTACAGCCACACACACACGCAGAGTCAAGTTTCTGGGCCACACTGACTCACCAGTGCGAGTTTGATGAGAAGCTTCGTCTTTATCCCATTAGAGCATCATACGGATGCGAAAATTGGCTTTTCTTTCTGACACATCACCACATGCCTATGCAACAGTATATCATATGAAGAAACACTATCTATTCTGTCTTCTATATCGGCTCACAGGTGAAATTTGAGTGTTATCAAGTCTACTTAGGGATAATTTTCTTAGCAATCAAGATTCAAGCCTGTCCATCTTGTATTTATACTACTTCCGGTCTTTAATATAAGACTTAGTTGATTAATTTGAAGAGATTAAAAAAGTTAGTTGAGGTTAGTTATTTATCATAAATAGATGTTGTCATTCCTAAAATGTCCTCATTAATCATGCATGTTTGAATTATAAATTGATAGTAACTTCTTATTATACACAACTATTATAGGGATTACTTAGAGACAAAATGGATAAACATTGAAAATAAAGTAGATTTAGATCTTATATTTAAGATTAAATTAAAAGTTAAATTATATTTTATATTAGTAACCGGAGGTGTACATGTTGAAACACTCTGGGATTGAAACTTTTGTGAGTATACTAAGGTACTAATATTCGGATGGGATACCTAGGGGAGACCTATCTAAGTGAGACCGGAAACTCTGTTTAAATAGGTTGATTATTTCATCTCAACAGCTAGTTTCGATAGGGTTCCTCATTTCGGCTGTGGTAGCTATCATGTTCCAAATAGTTTCACTGCATTTTCCATAGGTGAGTGTGTGTTGGCTTTTCTGCATTCCTTGAAACTGAATCAAATGAAAGCACCCCGTTATTCGGTGTTATTTTTGGAGGGAGTGACAGCTTGGTTGCTGATTTAAGGTTTAACATAGTACACCAATGCTGGCCAAAAAAAAAAAAAAAAGTAGCTAAACAACAACTGTTGGCTGTACTCCACGTGTCCTACCAAATGACACGTCTGCTTGCCCCAAAGTCGTTATCTTATATGCCGTTGCTTACCTTCAGGTCGGTTTTCGGTCAGTCCAAAACATGCTGCATAATAATAGATAGATAGAAAGATAGATATTGATAAATATAGAAAGAGAGAAACTTCTGCTTGTTTATACAAAAGCGTCAAAATTAAGCGCCTGAGAATTATCGGCTTATCGCCAACATAGAAAACAATTCTTTTTTCTTGGTTGGTCGGACAATTTTCGATTGTTTTTGTGGGACAGGGACACCTAGATGGTAGAACAAGAAGCGTCGTTAATCGTTATTATCTGTATTTGTCTTGGGGCAAGCAGCTAGCAAGCCAGACATTCCTACTTTTAAGATTGATTGACGTTTCTGGTGTTTTTAACGTTGTAAATCAATCTTGTCCATCATTCGACTAGGAACCGGCAAGAACTACTTTTGCGACACTGACGAAAACCATTTACGTGATTAAAACAAGATAAGCCCTTTTATCATTCACTGTTTTAGAGTGTGGCATTCTCATACTTCTCTATATCTTGGTTGCGGCTGCACATTCTGTTTATTTTGCGTAGGTGGGTTATTAATACTCACCATTGAGGTTGTAAATGGATCTTCGCATTAAAATGTTACTATAATCCTATTGGGTTTAGTTAAAATTCTTAATGATATCAAAAAGCTTCCCATTTTAGTATTAAAGTTGTTGTATTATACTATTTGGTTATAATTTACTCTTATGCGGAGGTTATATATTCTATAAAGTAAGTTGTTAACTGATACTGCTTAGGTTGTTAATGCCTTCTCATTCGGTTGTTAATAGTCACTGTTGAAATTGTAAATGGATCTTCGCATTAAAATATTACTATAATCCTATTGGATCTAGTTAAAATTCTTAATGATATCAAAAGCTTCCCATTTTAGTGTTAAAGTTGTTGTATTATATTATTTGGTTATAATTTACTCTTATGTAGAGGTTATATAATTCTATAAAGTAAGTTGTTAACGGATACTGCTAGGGTTGTTAACGCCCTCTCATTAGGTTGTTAATAGTCGCTGCTGAGGCTGTAAATCGTAATGACAGAGCAAATATGAATATGGAATATGAGGGGCAGTAATGTCATTTTACAAAACGAAAATATTACTCTGAGGTCCCTTGGGACCTGTCAATGATTTTGAAATTTCGTGAGATGTCAGAGTAATAAATTGCCTTCTGTGGGACCTGTTAGTGATTTTCCCTAGTTTAAAAGCATTGTCTAATTTTTAGCTGAACTTCTTAATCTATACAAGGTCTGATAAATCTTTGTAACGAGAACCAAAATGGGCAGCTTACAAGAAGAAAGGAGCGGATCTTGATGGGAAGTGTGGGAACAAAATCTGAAATCTTCACAAGGAAGTCCAAGAAAAAAGCCAAGAATAAGCGAGAGAAAAGAACTTATAAATACTTACATAAGTTATTCCAAACATGCCCTCGCACCAATTCCTTGTTTGCCAATTACCATACCATACTCGAACAAGCCCCATCCATTCTTCCACGTCTATATCTTAAGATTACAAAGGCCCAGGAAAGTATTCTATTACTATCTGTAACAAATGAAAAGCGAGATTTTTTTTGGGGGGGGGGGGACGTACTTCCCAGAGAAATTTGAAGATCCAATAAAAATAAAATATCATTTGAGATGTTAGCGGGCCGGTCATTTTAATTTTTAACTCTCATGTTCCTAAAACAACGTACTACTTCTGATTTTTAATATAAAAACTCGTTTGATTTTTATTTTGATCCTAATTATAAGACTCTCAATCTACTTTAACTCTTATGATTATCTATTTTTTCAAGTTAGTCCTCATAATAATAGTGGTTCTAACCAATATACTTAATTAGTACATATATTTTAAGAAAAACAATACTTATTTATTACAAATAACTAATTTAGCTAGTTTTCTTAATATATTCAAATTAGTTAACAAACTTTTATATTAAGTATCGAAAACAGTATATGTATTCACGTGTTATCTACCAATAAAGGTCTCACATCAATAATGAGTTCAAAATTTTGCCTTTGTGGAGTTTTTTTTTTTTTTTTTTAATTTCTTTTCATTGGTACATCTTTTTCCCCCAGTTGTACAGGTCCTCTCTGTCTGCCGTTAAGTCCATTTCATCAGTGATCACCCTGATACCCTTGCAAGAGTAACAATGACTCATTCAACTGATAACCAATCCATGAGACCCATGCTCTTTGGTTTTTCGGAACTTGCGAAATTGAAGTATGTTCCCGTGCTTCAACTAGTTTGCACAGCTTAGTTCAAATTAAAAAAGAATAGTCATATATATGATGAAAATTGTTCTTCAACGCTATAAGGAGCCTACTTATTTATTGGCTTATTAGCAAACATAATAAATTTGATGTTCCAGCTCAGAGCAATGAGCTTGGTCTCCAACTATTATCTCTGCTCGTTCCTGCAATGTTTGTCTGTAAGCACAGTATCCAGACACCCACAACCTCTAAAGAACCAGCGACAATGGTTGCATTTCGAAATCCATTCCCTAATAAATCATAAGACCTCCAAGAGCACCGGTCTACTTGGTAGTGATACAGTTAGCTATTATTTGAGTGAAAACAAAACCATAATTCTAAAAATAATTTTACGGTGTATAAAAAAAACACTCCATCCTGGGAACCCCTCTATTAGACCACCACACGAAGCCGTATCCCACACACTTTGAGATCAAGGTATTTCTACGTCAAGTTTCAAAAATACTCTCGCTACAATGCAACAAGCATGAGGAGAGCACTAATGCTTGATATTCTCACACGAATACAATCTTTCTTAAAAGGAAAAAAAAAAAAAAAACATCAGAAGTAATCAACTATAAATTTTTACGCATACCATATCCAATCTCATTCTTAGCTTCAAACGACTTTTAGACAATACCTTCTTCAGAAACAACCAAAAACCATACATGCATATCACCTCCAAGAGGAGAGAATAGAAATTGTAAATCCTCGCTCTCTCAATTATGAAGTATCTAATAAATCTCAGTTATCCCTTTTCTAATTCAACCCTTTTTTTTTGGGGGGGGGGGGTGGTCAACCAATTTTAGTGTCATGGATGGCAGAATTCCAAATCACTTCTTGGAGCCAGAGCATGCATAGAGTACAGAAAATAAAGAGGTACATCAATATTGTTCAATGCAGGCCACCTATCCATTTTTAATTTTATTATATTTTCCATATACACAAGGGACTAATCTGTAACTATTATCATCAAGAATCAGATGAAGGTCAATTAACTGTGCATTTATCAGGTTACCAGAAATTATCATCAACAGACGATACATCTAAATCTGAATCCTCCTCCAGCTCCAACTCAGGCTCCACAGGCCCAAATTCAGCAGATTCAATGTCTGCCAGGTTCTTCAAATCAACCACAGAAAGCTCATCCAGGCGCCTTACAACCAAATCTGCGGCCGCAAGCTCATAGACAGGGTGCTTACTAGCAACAGCCACACACTTCATCCGGCCATCATGTGCAGCCTCCACGGTTTGATTGGAGTTCCCAAATACAATGCACCTTTCAGGTATAAAGTTCAAAAGCTGCGCTGCATACACAAACATTTCTGGGTCAGGCTTTCCCCTATGTACATCCTCTGCCGCTACAATAACACCGAAATTCTCTTCAATGCCAATTGTTCCCACGGCAGACTCGAGAGTTTTTCTGGGACGAGTAGAAACCAAAGCCATTGGTATCTTATAATGCATCAAAACACTTACAAACTCTCTTGACCCGGCCCTTAACCTATATATCCCACCTTGTAAAGCCTGGTAAATTTCTTCTTTTCTATTAGCCATTCTCCTTAACTCTGCTGGGTCCCTGGACCAGCATAGAACTTCAGATATTGCTTGTTCATTCTTCATCCCTTCTATTCTCTTGAGGACAAAAGCTGGAGGAGGGGACTTTCCTTCTTCTTCAGAAAGAGCTAGCCAAGCTTGCTGCTCAAGATCAGGATTATCTTCAACGAGAACCCCTTCCCACTCAAATATGGCACCCAACCAGCCACATCCCATTCTTTCTTGTCTAAGTAAGGGATTATGAAGCGAAGGTTTATCTGCTCTGTTAGCAGGTGGCCACAAAGCAGGTCTTCGTTCAAAGCCATGATCAAACCCGTTACTTTCTTTCTCCGGCACTCTCTCTTCCCTGTACGCATATGCCTCTTTTGTAAGCTCCATTGCCAGAGCCTTAATCGACGATGGCACGAAGCCATTCTTTTTTGATTTAGGCAAAGACAATGATATAAAAAACCTTCCACCAAGGAATTCTGTAGCTGGGAGTCGACAATGAATCCATGTTTTACGTTTACCAGATGCGTCCCTGATTAAATTTCCTCCGCAGACAGGTCGATGGCCAAGAAGTGAAATAGCAGCAATCGATTCCACCATTTTTGAAGAAGCGATGTCACCAAACAACTAAAATTGACTTAGTAACCCTACGTAATGGCACAGACCCCTACTGGGTCACAATGAATGGCATAAGACAGGAGCCGACTGGACCAATTTAACTCCAACAGAACTTATCTGATAAAAGATTCAGAGCAGAAGTTCAACCTTCCTCCACAAATTTTGCGACCCCCAGAATAAATTGCAGTGAGAGACTAAAAATCAGATGATATCACCATATTCGACAGAAGAAGACAAAGAAGGACATTTCTCCCGGCTAAATCCCAAGTTCGTCGTCAAGAACCACCATGAAATTCCTTCAAGCAAAACCAAGCTCAGTCATTACTCAAACAGCCAAATTAGCGAACGAATCACTTTAAATATGAATAAACGAATACGCGATGGAGAAAGAAAAACCTAGTAACAGAAGAAATACGAGCGTTGGTACCTGGAATCAACCAGGATTCGCTCATATAGATTTTTGCCATATATATAAAAAAAAAAAAAAAAAAAGAAGCAAGAAAAACGATTGGAAGGAAACGCATGTGGAAATAGAAAGAGAAATAGTGGATAAAGAAAAACCTGGTAGAAATCAAGTGATGATCCGAAACTTCACGGCTACAAGGGAACCGGGAGAGGGGAGAAGACCAGATTCTTCGGCAAGGAATAGATGAATCTCACTGTTTCTTTCTCGCAACGGAGCTTTGTACACGTTTCCGTCTTTAATTTTAATTGCTTCGCTGATCTCTTGGCCAAAGTGTGGCTTATAAATCATCAAGGACCGAGAGAGAACGCCGGCCAAAGCAAGCACACGTGTCGGTCACAAAAGACGGTTGTGGTTTGCATTCCCGGTGACCGACGGTAATTATAACCTACCTTCCCCATTTTCTTCGAGAAAAGGCTTTTAAACATTGAGAGAAAAAACAAAGGGGCGAAAAGGCTTTTTAAAACACGGTGGCCACTTGAGACAACAGTACTCGTTCACGTCACGCCACTTATTTGGAGATTTTTCTTTTCCATTTTTATGTTTTTCAAATGCAAAAATACAAGTGGGCAGTGTGGTCAATGACACGAGAGTGATTGCGCTTTTTACCAGTTATGCACATTATTTTATTTCCCAGGCCATTCTGGATATGAGATTGTTGGTTTCAAAGAAGCTCGCAGCTTCTTCATGTTTCCGCTGACTTCTTGGTGAAGCTCAGTGTCAGTTATATACTATTTCCTTCCATATACAATCGCACTAAATACAGTAATCTCTCTCAGTGAAACTTGGATCTTATTATCTTACGAGGGATTAATTTTTTTTACTGGACTCAAAATATTGTTGGCAAGTGTCGGTTGATTTTTATTGAAATATTCTTTTTAATTATTTACATTAAATTTACCACTTATGAAAACTTCTCAATAAATATAGATATTATAAGAAAAATATATAAATTTCAGTAATAAAATGAATTGAAATTTTACATCGAACCCTAGCTAGTTCTCATATACTCAATGTCATTCTAACTATAAGCTTCAAATAATTATTCACAGATAATGAATAAATAATTAAAATTAGTTAAAAATGATAAATAGGTTAGAAATATACTTTTGTCTTCAAAAATGCCCTTATGATAAATGATAAAAAGAATGAAAGAGAATATTTGGGAAAAATGTGATAAGAGAGACTATGTGAAAGGGGAGAGAATAAATAATTAAGATAAAATTAAAAAATACATTAAATGTCAAGATAAGCTCAAATTTAAGTTTATAAAATAAACCATATACTTCCTAAATTTGAAGCTTATAAAGAAGGCTAGAGAAGTATATAAGATAAGAGGGAATACATGAGTTTCTTTTATATATATATATAAATTATTAATCATGGGAATACTTATAGAACAATGCTTCCATTAAATTTTTTATGTCTATTATGTCAAATACTCCAATCACACATCACTATGTATTTTATTTTTGAAATATTAATATTTAATAGTTCTTGATTACAAATACACATAAAATAAAAAAGAACACATAACCATATGTGAACAGAGAATTTGACCAACGTTTTTTTTTCATATTTATTAATTATTCTATTTTTGTTAATAAAAATATCTTCTTAACATTTTCAATGATAAATTGTGAGTTGAAAACCGGAAACTTTTTTTTTTCCGGCTGCATTGCTTTTGTATCATTTAACGGTCAAAGTTGAATTATATATGTAGTTGTCCATTCCATTCCCTTTGAACGAGGTTCATTAATAGGACTTTACAGGAAAATTCCATTCATTTTATCGTTTATCCGTTGTCACAGGCGATACACCTTGAATTAGCAGTAATTAATTAAGCAACTAATTATAATACAAAGCCTCGTGTCAATTAAATATGAGTAATTAGGAGAGAGAGGGAAGCGTAAACGAGTGTGTGGTGAACGCGATGGCGAGGAAGGATAAGAGGGTGGTGGTGGGGCCCTGGAGGAACGGCGAAGATCCTTCCACGTGTCCGTGTTCTAGAATGAGGGACTGAGATTCCTTTCCAGGCGGGCTCGTGCTCCTCCAACCGCATAATCCGAAGGACATTCTATGGCCAAGTTTCCGACTATTTCACACGACATACCATCCCCCCATGCTGTTCACGCGCGCGATGTGCTGCTATTATTTCCCATTTTTTCCCTCAAGAAAAGGCTTTTAAATTATGAGGAAAAAACACAAAAGAAAAAAAAAACAGAGAAATAATAACAAATTTTTGTTAAATTTCTTACTTAGCATTTAGTAATTTTAAATTTTTATGAAATTCTCTTCGTGAAAAAATGTCCTGTTTGCATGGTCTATTCCTTATGCCCCCCGACAAGAATATAAATACGATTTTGAAATTGGATACATATTTTGTATATAATTTAGGGTTTAAGTAAGAAAATTTGGAAAACATTAATTTCAATATGTCTCTTGAATTTGAAAAATAAAAAATGATTTTATTTAATATGATTTTTTGTATCATATATATATAATCTATGTTTTAATGATTTTTTTTGTTGGCAAAAAGTTTCTTTTTATTATTATTTTTATAAAATAAATTTTATTTTATTTTTTCACTTTGTATTTCATACATTATATGAGAAATATCTATGAAATCATAACCGATAAATGACAGATATATCTGAGCGTCAAACAAATTTCAATTATTTGATATTAACTACAAATATGTTAACTTTTGTGTCAGATGAATGGCCTGTTTAGAATAACTTATAATTAGCTTTTTAATCATAATTAATGAAATACAAAATAAATATATGAGAAGAGATTTATTTTGACTTACGTAAAAAGTACTTATAAGTAATTTTTAAAGCTATACCAACAGGTTTGAATTGGATTTTGATTTTGCTTATATACATCAAAATTTTGACTTTATATGATCAAATGTTGGCATCTACTTAGTACTATTCAATTTAGTTTTGATAATTTTTGGTATTACATAAAAATATTTTTCTATGTTTAACGGTTTTTATTTTTTGTATAAATCAGTTTTAATTTATTTTTTTTTCATATTCACTACTTCACACGTTATTTTAAAAATATGAAAAAATTAATCTTTTAGTCCCTAT